CTTGCGACGTAAACATTGTCGTCCACTTATTGAGGAGTCGCACGTCCTCTTCGCGAAATACTTTGCGGGTTCACTATTAAAATTAAAATCCCCGTCGCCAATGTAATGTAGGGGTGTTAATGAAACGGCGGTTGGTACTGGACTAATTTATTATGAGTGAACTGACGGTACATTATATTAAGGTACCCTCATATACCACAGTAGCCAATTCCCGGAGATCGGCTTTTGTTTGTTGCAGCTTCGAGTGCTTTTGTTTCCAACACTCGTGCGAGCCGACGTTAACGCGTTTACTCGTTAATCAGCGGCCAACCGTAAACGATACCGAGATGTGAAACTTGGGGAAAACACATAAACTGACCTAATTTAGAAATTCAGTAACTTTAAGTGTACAAAATTACAATTCGATTCATTCAGATTACGTAAAATAAACATCAAAACTTATGAAGTCTTTTTGACGAAGTTTTCATTGTACATTGCCCAACTAAGAGTATGTGTTTCTCCTGATACTAAGTCCCTTTTATGGTCATCACCTATCTCCAAAAAGGTTGGGCATACACTTATCTAGATGGTTATTTTCTAAATTAACTACAAGTATACTGTTCGGTATGAATTCACGCGTTGAGTAACGCTCAATGATAAATGGCTTTGCTCACCCGTGCTCTCGGAGCCATATACGTCGGGGCAGGCCTGGTAGTTGAGTAGCAGACGCGACTCCTCCGTGCAGCTTTCTATTGATGACACTGGACTCTTGCAGTCGCCATGACCCCTGGAATGTTATGCAAATAATTATTATACGTATTTCAGAGTTTTTGTCCTAACTTATTTGTGGATTTCTTAAGAGACTTCAGTGATTAGCTACACTTATTTTTCAACTTATTATAATAGCAATTAATAATTGGTTTGAAAAAGTTGTTCCAGTAAAAAAGCATGTTAACCTCTTAGTAGTACTTTTATAAAGTTTATAGCAAGTAAAAGCTCTTTGACTGTGTAATTAAATTTTAAAAGTCCCCTTTGTCTCGGCCAGTTGATAATTAAGATGGACGTAAAAACTAACGAAAATAAAGAGCTGTCTTTATTTCCGACATGAAATTGCCCGTAGACGTGTCAACCTGCCTAATTGCATGGCGCAGACAAGAGTAGGGTAACTACATATTTAAAATATTAGGATATTCTTTTATATTTATTTCATTGTCATAAAACGAATTTTTAAGAAACATAATCGTTAGTAATTTAATAAGTAGTTTTAATAGATTATAGCTTATTTTCTTCGAAGAATTTAATTCGATAGTTTAAATGAAAATTGCAGATACACTGAACAGAAAAATAACTATTTAAATTTATTATTACACAAAATCAAATTAAAATGAACTATAGAAACGTTAAAACAAATAAAAACAATAACAAGAATTGATTTTTGGGAGTAGAAAAATTAATAAATCTTCGGGCAGTCCTGGGGTGGTTATTATTACTGGACACCCTAGTGATATGGGGAAAAAACGGAGTGTCCAGACACGCGTCAACGTCACGAATCATTGCCGTCGATCGGTAATGAGTTTTTAATTTAAACTGATGTTAAGCGTGTCACAGTGATGGGACACGTAGAGGACAGTTAATCCATAAGTGATCGCTTGAGTGTCCTTTAACGTTAATTAAGTTTTTACAAACATTTATAGTCTTACTCGAATCGTTAGATATCCTCATGGTGAATCTCAATCTTTATCTGTATTCAATACTAGCTTTCGCCCGCGAATTTATCCGCGTGGAATTAAAATAATCCCTTCCCTGCTATAATGCTTCTACACTTAAACCTGAGGTTTCTTAATTTAGAGGGAAACTAGCATATCTTTGAAATAAACGATAGAGGCTTTAATTATTTTTCATATTATAAATGAATTAACAATTTCTACTTAGTGTAATACTAAGATAAAAGTATAGTTGCTTTCGTATATTCGTGGTAGGCACATCACTATTGCATAACGTCAGCTCCGGAGACTGCGCCTTCCGTTCCCAATGAATAAGTCGTCTGACAGTTTTATAGTGCGGCCGCGAGCTGATGGTTAACTAAAATTCGATGTCCAAAAGCCATCTATTAATTTCGTCTGTTTTCGTCCAACAGATGGCGCTCCACTAAATATACGATCACCATTTTCCTCGTGGCAGCTTGTAAGTTGTCGGTTACGTATTTATAAAGCGATGAATTTCTTTTCTCGGCTTGGACTTGACATGTTAACACGATGGTACATGGTTATATTTATTTTAAAATCAGAAATACAATACAAGACGAATTTTAGAATCAGTCAAGTTAATGGTGATTAAATTATGGTTATTACGATGGTAGAATTGAAATTGTTACCTGTTGTAAGTGAAGGAGAAAGGTCCCTTTAGCGGGCAGTCGACGGGCGAAGCGGATTCGCGGAACATAGAGTAAAGAAGCGCGTCGCCAGTGATCAAAGAGCAGAGGTGCGGTAGCGCGTCTCGCCGATGACAGAACGCTGCAGGTAATGCCAACATTACAGATAACAAATAACATACAAGTAGAGTAGAGTTAATATTATTGAGCTTTGACTTCCAATCATATAAATATACGTTGAAAAACTCACTTTCTTTATACTGCAGAACATTGATGTGTTTCTCATGCATTACAACGCAACGGTAACAACCTTTCCTGCAAAGGTAAACATATGTTTTTAGATAACGTGATCTTGTTTATAACAATGCAATGATTTGATGAGCAATGATTTGGAACTTACTCGTCAACTATAAGAAATTTGTCGCCTTCTGATGAGAGACACCTCCCCTTGTTGGAGAGACGGTCGCCCTCGATCAGGATGGACTGTATGACACCTGATTGGAACCACCGGCCCTGCCACCGCGCCGGGAACGCACAACCTGCACACAAAGATAAAACTTTATTAATATTAAAACGAAAGTAACAATAAACTAAATCTTTAGTTAACTTTTATAAACATTAAAGGTTTACAAATAAAATAGAAGCCTGAAAGTGGTTCACGAATAACTGATGCCATTACTGATATCCATAGAAAATGTGTGTGTACCCGCATTTTTCATGTAATGAAAACATGAAATATTCAGAGCGGGCGGGCGCGCGCTGAAAGCCTTCTAACAATTGATGACGCCCCGTAATGACTGCCCCCGGACAGGTGTTTCACACAACCTAATGTACAAAAACATCAACAAATACTACTTTAGTAATCTCTCTGTAAACTGCCGCACATAAGTGGTCAGTTACGAAGTCGATTACATTTTTTACTAGGAGAAATCTTCCTGTAATAAACCGATTCAACAAATATAGAAATGAAATTGAAATAACCGACAATTTACTTCTTCCTAGAGGAATGCGCAATTTTAGATGGATGGACGTTAGAAGGTAAGCTAATTGGTAAGTTTTTTTATTATTTTTTCAAATAATTCGCGGGAAAAACTAGTTCAAAAACAATTGAAATATTTACTAAAAATCTTGGCTTTGTTAATAGAAAAAGTTTGTCTTTACTTTAAAGAAAAAAAAAACTACAGAAATGTAATCCATTGCCGTTCGACCGTGAACCGTAGCCGACTATTTGCCCGTTCGAGCAATTTATAATTCAGAATTACAAGTCTACGAAGCTACGAATGAATTACAAGCGCCCCCTACCTCGGCCAGTCCAAAACGAAATACAAAGTTTATTTTTGAGTTCATCGGAACGCTTGCCGTGTCATTGGCATTCGTTAGCGATCTCTTTTATTTGAGATTTGGTCCAGCGCCAGAACTTGCCGACATTTGTGAGTCTCATTTCGTTACGGAATATAGAATTAAATGTTCCAACAAACTTTACGTTAAGTGAAGGCTGTATATATTTAAAAAGCCTTTTCAATGTACTGAACTCAGAACTGCATAAAGCAACAAAGATAACATATTGTTAGCTTTTTAACTATTTTGATGTATTCTGTATTCTTGAAGGTTATTAAGTCTGTGCTATAAATCAATACCATTTATCTTATTTAAAATAACAATATAAACTTTATAATTGTGATCCAACACATTGTTTAAATATTTATGGCATGGTTTTTAAAATGTCGGCATTCTACTTGTTAAGTTAATAATCGGACAGTAGTCAGATGTCAAAAATAAGGGTGTTGCATTGGCTCGACGACACGACGGCCATATTGGTAGTGGCGAGCGTGGTGGATACATGCAAAAACGGTGTTATTGGTAAGGTTATTTTGTACAAATTGGAAGAAAACATAAGAGGTAATGAAGACTATATTTTATTAAAGCATAACATGGCTGTGACGCCCATAATATTAGTTTAACTACTGTGAAGTTAGTTGTTGGTAATTTTGATATATTCCAATTTAATATCTTTCCAGTTTATTCAGATGTCAAATGTGGAAACTGTCTTTTGCGAGCTTTGAAATGCAGATTCAATTTTGAGAAACATCAAAACTTATTCGGTTGCGGTTTTCAGACGAATTGTTATTAAACTGAAATTCAAATACCAAAGTAAAATGAATTTTATAATAAATGCTTTATCAATGTGGCAAATCGTACTTAATATTATAAATGCGAAAGTTTAGATGGATGGATGTTTGTTAGAGTTTGTAGCCTAAACGCTTGGATATCTCGATGAAATTTGGCACAGATGTAGAAGATAGTCTGGAAGAACACATAGGCTACTTCTCATTTTTCTAATTCCACGCGGATAGAGTCGCGGGCGAAAGCTAGTTGAGTTATAAAATAGTGTTTGTTTTGTCACAAAATAAATGTTTGTAAAATCGTCAAAATTTTACAAGTCAATACTTGTAGATTTCTAACCCTACGATTTTTTTTAATCTTTTAAGGTCCTTTTCCACTAAGCGGTAAACGTGCAAACGTCAATTTATAAATCTGTGGTGAATTTACAATCTTACATAGTGGAAAAATGTACTAAATGGAAGAAAAATGTTTCACATATACAGTGTCGTGTGGGATTGTTTCATAAGTTTCACCAACAGATGGCGTAATGAGTGAAGCGCCAACGCACTGCGCGATAACATCCGGTAATTTGGTAAAGTGCATTCAGCCATTACCACTTATGGATGTGAAATGTGACGTCATTACATAAAACTCGAGATCAAGCATTTTTTATATCTATTTTATACATGTAAAGCAATTTGTACACGATCATTATGATTTTACAAGCCACTTTGGATATATTATGTTGATTATTTTTATGTACAAGATATTCAAAGCTATATCTTGATGTTCGCTATCATAAAAAAATTTATACGAAATTATAATATATTTCTAGATAGTGCCATAAAATTGGCATAATTAATTTAAAAGTCCTTTTAATTATAGCTTTTTTATTGTTTTTGTAAAAGGTATTCGTTTAATTTGATAACTAACTAACTGTTATCAAAAACATTACTCTTACATAACTCTTGCTTGTTTGTTTTCTTGCTTGTAAATGTGTATTCACACTAAATGATTGATGAATCATATCTGGACCCGTATCCATTGTCAACTGACGTCACTTTGGTAATGGAAACCTTTAATTAAGTGTTGTTTAAGATTTTGGTTACTGTGATATTATAACATTGACATAAACCATACAAGTTGTACTTTAATTAAAAACTTCATACCATCAATCCAAAGTGGTAAACAGAGCTGTACACTTTATAGACAAAAATTTATGTCGTTTTAACACAAATTCAGTTTACATAACAGTTTCTGATTTTCATAGTAATGTAAATTCACAATGAACGTGTCCTTAGGCTATGATAACGGCGTGAGATATTACGCTACTGTACTGAAAAAAATAATCTAAGCTCGGAATGAAAGACTTTTAAATAAAAAAAAAAGTGAATTAGCACTATAGATACCTACATAGGTTCTATACTATTATAATAAAGTGTAAACACACACTTCTTTTTTGCCTAACATGTCAGCAATTACAGCATATTTTTTAATAATTCTTCTTTTAGTAAAAAGCCCTACAGTTACGTCACGGTTTAGGCTATATATTTCCACGCCATTAAACTTAGGCGATAAAAACCCTAATGTGGGAAAGAGACCATAACTTGCTGCCATGTCATGTCATGTCAGTTTGACATTTGCTATTGATAATTTGACAAATGTAAACAATAAAATAAAATTTTCATAATTTCACGCGGCCGCACGGGAACAGCTAGTACATTTTAATTTTATTAACAGACGTTCTTACGGTGAAGGAAAACATCGTGATGATTGCATATATCAGAGAAGAAATTCAAAGATATGTGTAGTCAACCCGCATTGGGCCAGCATGGTTAATGCCTAATCCCCTCTAATTACGGTTGGCTACAAGCCCCATAGATAGTGAGCTAATAATGAAGATATTATTAATTATTTAAATCTGAATTGTACCAAAACAATGTGTTTTTTTCTCGAACTTGCCACAGTTTTTCAAAGGTTTTAAAACTAGAATCGAATGGTTCCGTTAAAATCGTTTACTAAGCCATTAAAAGTCGAAGAGTGAACATCGGAAGTCTTGGTGACCGTCCACTAGATGGCAGGGACGAGGTGCGGGATCATTTTTATTCATGAACTGCAAGAGGCCGTAGAGTGCAGCGTGTCCATTGTGCCGTAATCGCCGGCATTATTGCCTCCGATATTGCCGCTAACAGCCTGACAATGGGACTCGACTCTACCGTTTATGCGTGGCCCTGTTTAAATGAGAGTTTCCCTTAGGGCTGGCATGTAGTAAGCCAATTATCGAGTTTAATTATTTATTACGAACACCGAGTTTAGTCTGTTAAATAGAATGTACAATACAAAATATGGTACAACAATTTAAGACCACATACTATTCTGGTAAAATCGTTAATTGCAAGCAGCCATTAGACAATATAGTATTCAATAATTTAAAATAAGAACATTATTAGAGTCTTCTTTATTTTGTTTAATTTAACACATCTTATTTATTTATTTTCAATAGGAAGCCAACGTCTTCTTTCTTATTTTAGTAGACAACCCTAGCCGGTTGCTAAGCGATGACTAGAAAGGTATTGGCTCGCTTGTTAGTTGATAACGAGAATAGTGAGAGAGCAATATAATGATAATAGCAACAACATTTATCTTTATAAAAGCTTACATTGTATGAGTTAAGTACAATTGAAGGAATGGAACATCTTATAAGAAGGTTATTGAACAGATAAGACTTGAATCTAACTGCTTTGAATTATTTTATTATTCTGTAGCTTAGAATTACTTGCAAATGTATAAATGTTGAATATACAAAGAGAAATATGTCTAAATTGAATAGGAAACTACTAAACATTTTTCTAAATACAGGCATACATCTAAACTATTATAATAAAGCGTAAACACACACTTCTTTGTTGCCTAAGATGTCAGCAATTACAACGTATTTTTCACCAGTTCTTCTTTTAATAAAAAGCCTTACACTTACGTCACGCTTTAGGCTATATATTTTAAAGCCATTAAACTTAGGGGGTAAATATTTTGCATAAAAACTCTAATGTGGGAAAGAGACCATAAGTTGCTGCCAAAATCAAGGAAGCAAGATTGTCAAGGTTTGTCATGTCATGTCATTTTGACATTTGCTATTGATAAATTGACACATGTAAACAATAAAATAAAATTTTCATAATGTTATGCGGATACAGGCTTTATTTTAGATTTAATATACTTTTATTAATTCCGGATGAAATTGCCAGCAATCGATAGTCTAGAATAAACACATAGAATACTTTAAACTTTTGGTATCCTGCACAAGACATATTGTCTGTCTTTAAAATTCATGAGGCCCCCTAGTGTCGAGTTTTTGCACTTTCTAGTGACCCGAGCAACAGCAAACACTTCCAAAGGATACTTTGCCCTGGTGAACGAGATTGAAGTTTTTTCTTAA